AAGAAGAAGAAGAAGAAGAAGAAGAAGAAGAAGAAATATAGCTGCAAGCAGCAATGAACGGGGTTCACAGGTTGACAGAAAGGACACAAGATCAGTTGGATAACAAAGCAAGCACTCTATCGTGTCTTCCTTTATGTGCAGTCAGTGTGTTACCATGTTTATCTCTCAACACCACCAAGGATGATGCAAGTGAAGTTTCGTATAGTGCTATAGGTTGGTAGCGTGGCCGACTCTGAATGCAGAAACTAATCATTCTCAAATTCATTAGAGGCTAATTAATTGAGTCTATATACCAAATCTGGAGTCAATCTAACTTATGGTTCATGAGAAGAAGATTTTTTTAGTATTTCTATCATTAGCATATGTGCTACCATGCATCTATAGGTACAGTGCGGCCATATTTGAATGCAGCAACCATTTTTTATCAAAACGATTAGACTGATGTAATGAGTCTAAATATAACATTTGGAGTGAATCTGGCCTATGGTTCATAAGGAGAAGATGATTGCAGTTGGTTTTGAGCATTTGTGTTACATATGCAAAGAAGTAGTTGTTAATAGTTTCCTTGTTTCTTGAGATATCAATACCAAATTCAGTGTTGCTTATCAAATCAAATCAAATGTTATTTGCCACATGCGCCAAATACAACAGGTGTAGACTTTACAGTGAAATGCTTACTTACAAGCCCTTAACCAACAATGAAGTTTTAAGAAAAATAAGTGTTGAGTAAGAAATTGATAAGTAATTAAAGAGCAGCAGTAAAATAAAATAACAGTAGGGAGGTTATATACAGGGGGTGCCGGGACAGAGTCAATGTGCGGGGGCACAGGTTAGTCGAGGTAATTGAGGTAATATGTACATGTGGGTAGAATTATATTGACTATACATAGATAATAAACAGAGAGTAGCAGCAGCGTAAAAGAGGGTGTGGGGGAGGGGGGGTGGGGGAGGGGGACAATGCAAATAGTCCGGGTAGCCATGATTAGCTGTTCAGGAGTATTATGGCTTGGGGGTAGAAGCTGTTAAGAACCCTTTTGGACATAGACTTGGCACTCCGGTATCGCTTGCGTACGGTAGCAGAGAGAACAGTCTATGACTAGGGTGGCTGGACCAAGAAACCTCTCCCCGATTCCTCAGTTTGGCCAGGCGGCCAGCTCTAGGAAGAGTCTTGGTGGTTCCAAACTTCTTCCATTTAAGAATGATGGCTACTGCGTTCTTGGGGACCTTCAATGCTGCAGACATGTTATTGTATTCTTCCCCAGATCTGTGCTTAGACACAATCCTGTCTCGGAGCTCTACGGACAATTCCTTCGACCTCATGGCTTGGTTTTTGCTCTGACATGCACTGTCAACTGTGGGACCTTATATAGACAGATGTGTGCTTTTCCAAATCATGTCCAATCAATTGAATTTACCACAGGTGGACTCCAATCAAGTTGTAGAAACTTCTCAAGGATGATCAATGGAAACAGGATGCACCTGAATTCAATTTCGAGTCTCATAGCAAAGGGTCTGAATACTTATGTAAATAAGGTAGTTCTGTTTTGTATATTTAAGGAATGTGCAAAAAATTCTAAAAAGCTGTTTTCGCGTTGTCATTATGCAGTATTGTGTGTAGATCGATGAGGAAAAAATGATTTTAATCCAGTTTTAAGTCTCTACGTCAAGCGGGGCTGTGAATATTAGGGTTTAAGTCTACCAGCTCTCACAGACTCACGCCAGAATTAGATGTTCATCCATGTTTCTCAATCGTCAAATTTCAAAGTGTTTAATGGTAAGTTTAGGCATTAACTCAGAATTTTAAAGGTTATGGTGAAGTTCAGGCATTAACTACAAATTCTTAAGGTATTAACTCTGAACGATCAAGGTAAAAATATAAACACAACTTTGTATTGGTGGATTTGAATTTGCAACCTTTGGAATCAGAGGCAGATGCTTACATCCATCTACGATCCCCGTCCACAACACCCTAGCAAAATCAAAACCTACTTGAAGGTAACAGCGCTCACTGTTGCCCCTAGTGGCCGGTTTCTATGTAATCTCCCAAGGTTCTCAGACATGGATGGACGTTGAATACTGACCTGGCTGGTTTAAGTGAGCTTTGAATATGAGGGTTTAAGTGAACTTCGCTGTGAACGCCTAGTAAGAATAATAATACATGTTTGTATTCATTGACAATATAATGTAGGCCTAGTAAATATAATCAGTAAATAGAGATAAACATGTGGCCTAAAAGACTGTTGGTTGAAATCCCCATATGGGCAAAGTAACACTTGATATCAGGAAAGTCATATTTCTCAGCAACAGTACAATAGGCCACATAACTTTCAGCTGGCTACAGTATAGGTGAATGACTCTCCTGACTTGCCTTGGATGCTCTTTGCCGCACTAGTGAAATGAAATACCCTATTTGGGCTCCCGAGTGGCGCAGCGGTCTAAGGCACTGCATCTCAGTGCTTGAGGCGTCACTACAGACCCCCTGGTTCGATTCCAGGCTGTATCACAACCAGCTGTGATTGGGAGTCCCATAGGGCCGCGCACAATTGGCCCAGCGTCGTCCGGGTTTGGCTGGTGTAGGCCGTCAATGTAAAAAAGAATTTGTTCTTAACTGACTTGCCTAGTTAAAAAAAGGTAAAATAAAAATAAATAAATAAAGAAAGAAGTACTGAACAGACGGTGGGAGGGGTGTTGAACATGTTGGAGATATAAAGACAAGGGGGAATATGATTCTTGCCACTTTAAGGATGTTGCGCCGCTATACTATGGTTACCAGGTGACATGAATGCTTCTGCATATAGAACGTCACTCTTCGATTTGCGCTGGTCGATACCGTGGAGCCTGTTGTTGATTGGGCAACACATGTGGATACTCCATGTCAATTGAACTGCACTCACTAATTTTCAAACGTTTAGAAAAAAAGAAACACTTTGAAGTTTCACAATAAGATCCTGCTGATGAAGAGAAAACCCTGGTTTGAAATGCATGTCAGATGAAAGGACCCTCATATCCAAATATGTCACACGTTGTTGTTGTTGTTTTACATTATATTTACAACATTACATTACTTTTTGATGTTTTCATCCTAAATATTAATATTTCACTACACAAATAAATTATCTTATTTTCATTAAATAGGCCTACCATCACTATATTATAATAGGCTAATTCAAACCATTTTAATTTCATTCATGATTCATCCTATAGAGCACCTGGAGTGATGGTTTGGCAACGTAGCACCTCTAAAAAAGCCATGGTGCCCTCTCACCTGCTGTATCACCTTTATTAGTTGTTGGGCTTTTTTGAACCCTCGACACAAACTGAAATAAAGGATTATGACTTAGCCTAATGGTTTACTAATACTGAGATATAGCTTATGTTTGAAGATAGCAACCAATATTGCCATAATTTTAAGAATGGGTTGTGATGAGTGTTCGTCCCATTGCAGAAAAAGTTAGTGTTATGGTTATGTGAGACCAAGTAGGATGTATTTCGTTATTGACCACACAAAAGCATCCCTTTACAAGTCACGTTTTTTAAATATGGAGAATCGGAACACAGATTTGTGTTGTGAGGAGGATTTACGTCCATTGACAACAAAGGGTGCAGTTCATGGCACGGGGGAAGTCCCTCTGCCTGCGTGCGTCGGCCACTGAGATGTGAGACGGGTTTTGTGATAAATGGAGGGATATCAAAACACGCACTTAAAGAGCACAGCTTTACTGAGCGCTTTCACACTGCCGGGGCTCTCCGGGTAGAATACCCCAGGGACAGCTCTCTTCTCTCGGCCTTTTGTGTTTCTGAGCTGGACCCATACATGCGTTTTAGATCATGTTCAGCTATTATAGCCAACATGTATTTCCATCAAAATCCTGATATAAATAAGGGAACATTTTGCACCACATGCAATTTTATTGATTATCAATGTATTTTATTTTAAGATACATCCAGTTTAACATTTAGCACTCCCAGAGGTGTTTGAATAATATGATTTAATGAACAAAATGTGTAGGCCTACTTCAGATTGCACAAACAGACATGTAAAGTCACTGAGATTTGTTGAGTTGGATTGGAAGTAGATGCCCCTATAAATTTATGGGGTAATGTTTGCCGACTTTCTGGTAAAAAAATTGTATGCATACATTTCCTTCCACTTATAATAAATGCATATAATCGTAAATATTTACTCACTCATAGTTTATGACGAAATTACCATTACCAAAGTCAAAAAATGTGGAATTTTTCTCTGCTCTCCAAAACGTCGCAAAACAGTATTGGTTGCCTATCATTAGATCACCATTAAGGAAATTATAGCCTTTTTTATGCGATTTCTTTGCAATATTTCACAGTGAATTACAATCCCCCAAAAAATAGTGGACTGGAGGCTATTTCGAATGATTTTCACACGATTCACACCTGCAAAACAAAAATAATTATATGATATAGCCTATGCTTCATATAGCCTAGTTAAGATAGAATTCTCCCTCGAGAAAGTATGAGTAATTGTACTCGAATCATGGACCACCGTTATAGGCATTAGCTCATACAGAATCACTAGCCTATTGCCAATGTTTTCCACTGAAATGTAAATCCCAATACTTAGAGCAAGTGTATTATATTATCATTGTGGGGTGTTGTTTATGTTTTTGTGCTTTTAATTCTTACTTGTCAACTCAAACAAATAGCAACACCAGGAGGAGCAAACCCAGCCACTCCGTAATGATATCTCATAATCACTTTAATGAAATTATCGCCGAGTAAATTAAACATAGGCCTAAAGATCTCGCACGCTTTTCACCATAAGGGACCTTAGACATTTTAATGACTTGTAATTCAATTAACCGCCTCCGTCGAAGCATTGATTTCTGGAGAAGCTGCTGAAAGTTGAATTCAGACAAGTCGAGCAGCCCATAATTGCCCAAGACATAGAGATGGAGGCTGGGCTGAGGTGGCGGTGTATAAATAGTGTGCTCTCAAAAACACAGTCATAACAGCAGGAGTGATCTCACGACGGAGCGCCCGACGAGCAGACGGCTAAGGTTATATAGGTAATTTTAAAGTGGATTTCCGTGCTCAGGACCACTGAACGGCCATGGAAGAACTTACGGCGTTCGTCTCGAAATCTTTCGACCAGAAAACCAAGGAGAGCAGTAAGGAGAGTATCACGTATAGGGAAGTTTTGGAGAGTGGCTTGGCGCGGGCGAGGGAGCTAGGGAACTCGGAGACAAGTCTACAGGACATAACGGAAGGCAGCAACCACTGTCAAGTACATCTATTCAAGGAGCACGTAGAGCTAGAGAAAGAAAAACTCAAGGAGTTTCATGTTTCAAGGGCCACAGAAGGTACGTTTTTATCCACCCGCTCGAGTTGTAGTGTGAATGTCCGAGATCCGTCGCATTCTTACACGGACCAAGCCCTTGGTTTTTACAATAACCGACATCGATTGTAAAAGTAGTGTTGCCAAAATATTTACAAGCTCAAAACTGTAACGAAAACATTTCGATTATTGCAGTTATTGTGGAGATTATCTCGTAAGCACGGGTCTTAATAATTTGTAGATTCTTCGAAACACTATAATAGCCTACTGTGAAAAGAAGTGGTCCAAACGAATGTAGCCTATATAATATCAATATACTCTCACTGCTGTCGATCATTGTAGTCTATTTAATAACAAATCATATCGATGATTAATCACGTATTGTGGCGATGAGATTCATAATGATAGGCCTCATTCAATGTTTCCACTGCACAACGAATAGGAGTGATACTTTCTCTTCTGCCAGTCAGGATGCAGTAACCTAATACTTTACATTTTGTTAATTGGACAATACATTTTTATTCTGACTGTTCACCTTTATGAAGTGTTTCTTGCTTGCATTTTCATGATATAACATATATAGTCTTACAAATAACTGCATACACAAAATTAGCCCGTGCACCTCGAAGTTGGATGTATGCTCTTGCACTGTAATAGGCCTATCAGTGTTTGGATGTAAGTTTTCCACAACCTTTTTGCATAGCACACAAGTGGTCCGTCTATAGGTCCGTCTATAATGAGGAAAAACAATTGTTACAGACAACACATAAGGTGATGCTAGTAATAATGATATACCAAGACTTTAGCCCCGGTAATAATATGTTTATAACCTATCATCAATACCTATCTCAACATAACTGTCTTTTACGCAGAACTATTAACTTGTGAAATCTTGTCAAATATTTAGATTGATAGACTTTTATACACTCGAAGTTAAGTTATTTATCAGGTTTATAAGGTTTAACAGCCGTGGAAATGGTTTGTTGTAAGATAGATAGGCCTATGATATCATATAAAACATTTCCAGGAGAATAAGGCTAATAGATCGTAGTTAGGTTACAAACACCACGAATAACTTTTTTTTTCAATCTAGAAGCAATAATATGTTTTTATCATTTTTTTGGTATAATTCACAATGTACTGTAAAACAATTACCACTATAATTTTCCAAAAATAATAATCACATTAAATTGTTGGTGTTGTGTATAGCCGTGCTCAGTTTCAGATTGTGAATATTGTTGCGCTTTCGGCTGGGCATTCCTGCTAATGAAGGTGCCATGTGCAGACTATAAAATACCATTGGGAAATTATAATTAGACCTAAAAGTTACATGCTTTTATGATCGAGGATATCATAATGTATGTGTTTGAATCATTTTCAATATAATCAATGGTAATTTGTTTGTAAATTTGCAGGCCTGTATTTTGACCAATAGAGATTGAGCTTCTGAATCATGTTCTCTTCTCTTTCTCTGGCTGGCTACCATATCATATACTATATATCCCAACAAATAAATATAGGCTACACAAGGAGCCTGTGTGTGTGTGTGTGTGTGTGTGTGTGTGTGTGTGTGTGTGTGTGTGTGTGTGTGTGTGTGTGTGTGTGTGTGTGTGTGTGTGTGTGTGTGTGTGTGTGTGTGTGTGTGTGTGTGTGTCTGTGTGGACGTGTTTAACTATCCTTGTGGGGACCAGAAGTCCCCACAAGAATAGTAAACAAACAAAAATGTGCCCAACTGGGGACATTTTGTTGGTCCCCACAAGGTCAAATGCTATTTCTAGGCAGTTTAGGGAAAAGGTTAGAATTAGTGTTAGGGTTAGAATTAGGTTTAGGGTTAGGGTTAGGGTTAGTTTTAAGGTTAGGATTAGGAGCTAGGGTTAGGTTTAGAGTTAGGGTTAAGGTTAGGTTTTTGGGTTAGGGTTAGGGTAAGATTAAGAGTATGGTTTAGGGTTATGGTAAGGAGTTAAGGAAAATAGGATTTTGAATGGGGCTGAATTGTGTGTCCCCACAAGGTTAGCTGCACAAGACAATGTGTGTGTGTGTGTATGTGTGTGTGTGTTTGTGAAGGCAAGCTGTAGTTGCAGATGCAGGTGTAAGAGTTTGTTGTGTTTAATCTAGAAGTGTACAGTATTTTAAAACGTTGTGTGTTCACGCAGGGATATATGAGTGTAAAGAGAAGAAGGAGGACGTGAAGTCTGAGGACGAAGACGCACAGAGCAAACTGAAGCAGCGGCGGAGCAGGACAAACTTTACCCTGGAACAGCTCAACGAGCTGGAGCGCCTGTTCGACGAGACGCACTACCCCGATGCCTTCATGCGGGAAGAGCTGAGCCAGAGGCTGGGACTGTCAGAGGCGAGAGTGCAGGTAACACCCGGTCTCCATCAACTGAAAGTGAAAACCATACTATAAATCTGCAGGGAGAAAGGTATAAGCTTTTGGACAAAACCCTAGATAGGTATGTCCTTAAGTTGCATCAACTTTTTGTACAAAGCGCAAGGCATAAAGGATTGTTCTAGGCCTCGTTTCACAGAGCCTTCGTAGCGTTAAGATCATCGTTAGAACCTTCTTACTATGTATCTTTAGTAGCCGAGGTGTTTCCCAGAGCATTCGTTAGTAACGTGGTTAAAAACTTTTGCACATCTACGAGTGATGCAGACCACTCACAGAGCAGCCAAAGCGCATAGTTAGATTCTTTTTTTGCCCTTCCGCGTCACTTCACAGAAGATCTCCGCTAAACACAGAATCAAGATGTTTAGGCTATCTGTCTGACTGTGAATGCTGCTAACTTCAGAACAAAATGGACAACAAATAGCCTACAAAGTTGCCAAAGTATTTGCAATTGTTACAGTTGGATAAAATGATGCTTCAAATGAAGATCGAGATGACTGCATTAAAAGATAGGCTACATGGGCCTATATAGGCTAGGCCTATTTTTTTTATTTTTTTTATTCAGGGGAAAACCCATTGAGACCAGAGTCTCAACACAACAATCAAATATAATATGAAACAAAACAGCAATCAATACAATGTGAAATAAAAAATACAGCACTACACAAAATGTAAGAAAAAGCTACTAATTTACGTCCTCAATCAACACATTCAATTGCCCGAGCGGCACCAGAACATCCAATTGTAATGAGTTTTGTAAATTGTTCCAGCAGTGAGTTGCAGTAAAAGCAGATGTATCTAATTCGATGGAGACCCGAGGAACCTCAAGAGTTAACCAACAATGTGAACGGGTTTGGTAACTTTTATGATCGAGGATCATAAATGTAACTCATGTTTTTATACTTCAACAACGAAGTTAGTTAAGTCAGAAGCGTGTGTAGTAGAGCTTTGTGGTCTACGGGACTTTAATGAGGACCACCCAACCTTTTGATACAAGATGCAGTGATGAGTATTAAAACTGTCACTTGTGATAAAGCGAAGGGCGCTACGGTAGACGGCATCCAAAGGTTTAAGAGTGGCCTAGTGGCGGCTGCATTATGGTAAATGGTGTTTCCACAGTCAAGAACTGGCAGGAAAGTTGAGTGTACAATATGCTTCCTGCTGTTTAGGGAACATGAAATCAATTTAATGTTCAGTCAATTGTGTTCCATTTTTGCGACTAGGCTACAGTTTGTAATTCTTCTGTCATTGTATTTCATGATGTGTGACAACATGTGCGCAATGTTGTGCAATTGGTGCCCCTGCACATTAACTATGTACCGGTACCCCCTGTATTTAACCTGCCTTCTGTTATTTTGCTTTACTGCTGCTCTTTAATTATTTATTTTTCTTAAAAACTGCATCGTTGGTTAAGGGCTTGTAAGTAAGCATTTCACTGTAATGTCTACACCTGTTGTATTCGACGCATGTGGCAAATACAATTTTATTTTATTTTATTTGATCTTGTGATTTAGTGCATTATTATTGGGTAAGCACAATAAGCCGCCTCAATAGCCTATTTACAGCCATTGGTGGTCATATCTCTCTCGGAGCTGATCCGTCGTAAATAATTATAATGTTAAGGTAAACTGATGAGAGAACAGCAAGGCTTTTCTTTCGATCCTATCAGTATCTACACATGGTCTAACGATGCACTTAGCGAACGTTCAATGTGCTTGTTTGGGGAACACTTAACAAGCTCGTGGTCTCCTGAGTGGCGCAGTGGTCTAAGACACTGCATCGCAGTGTTAACTGTGTCACTAGAGATCCTGGTTCGAATCCAGGCTCTGTCGCAGCCGGCCGCGACCGGGAGACTCATGGGCGGCGCACAATTGGCCCAGCGTCGTCCAGGGTAGGGGAGGGAATGGCCGGCAGGGATGTTGATAGAGCATGGCGTTTGCAACGCCAGGGTTGTGGGTTCGATTCCCACGGGGGGCCAGTATAAAAAAAATAAATAAAAAAATAAAATGTATTCACTAACTGTAAGTCGCTCTGGATAAGAGCGTCTGCTAAATGACTAAAATGTAAATGTAAATGTAAATAAGGATGCATCTGGTACGATCATCATAATGCTTAAATTACATGGCAACTGGGAAACGAGACCCTGAACATGTTAGGGAAAAAATGTGTAAGAGGTTGCCAGATTGAGACGTCCAGATACAGTGGCATGTGGACATAGGGGGCGAGGCATGAAGATTAGGCCTACTGTTTTTATTTGATATTTTACCTTTATTTAACTAGGCAAGTCAGTTAAGATTCTTATTTACAATGACGGCCTACACCGGCCAAACTCGGACGACGCTGGGCCAATTGTGCGCCCAATCACGGCCGGTTGTGATACAGCCTGGAATCGAACCAGGGGGTCTGTAGTGACGCCTCAAGCATTGAGATGCATTGCCTTAGACCGCTGCGCCACTCGGGAGCCCGGAGTAATTTTGTAATTCGTGCTTCAGAATAAGGGTGGATTTACATTAGTAAAATATGTCTAGTGAGCGCTATCTCTCTTCAACATTACATTTGACTTTTCTGTTTACACTAGCCTTGGTTGTGGTGTGGAAGAGCCAAATGTCTTTACACTGTACCACTCAGAGGGGGGAATGTGGTGTAGATGTCCCACACTTTTTCCGGAGGTTGTGTGGGAGACATCTCTTAAAGATATATTTGAATCTAGAGCCTTATATTTACACTACACAAGTATCTCTATTGGACCTAGTTTTTGTTGTCAAAAGAAGTGTAGTGTAAAGCAGCCGGCACTAAGATGCATAAGTTGGATGTAATGTAGGGCCTAGATCAGGAATGATGTATGGTCACAAATGAAACACGTTGCAGAAGGCTATACGGCCAACACTTTTAGGTTTGCAATGCAATAGCCTACTACAAACCATATTCATAAGCATACAATTTAAAAACTATGTGGCTATAAAATGTTTAGATACATTTAGGTTTACTTAAACAATTTATGTTGTCATATTGGTAAAGGGGAAATATTTGAAAGCGGTTACTTCATATTTATTTCAGTATGAAATAAATCAAATTGTTAACCTGTCAGGTTTGGGGTAGAATCATAATGAAATAGCGTCTTACTATTAGATTAAAAAATATATATCTTAAAATGATTTTTTATTTCCTTACATTTCGTGAGATAAACACGTTAAGGGGAGTCGTTTCAGGTGTACTTTAAAGACAATACATATTCAGGGTAAATTTAAAACAATAGCCTTATAAATATGATAGCGCTGTGGTTTACGTTTTTATATCATTTATTCACCCACTTCCAATTGTCACTGGTTATCCTTAATTTCATAAGCTATAGGTCTAATATTATTTTGGTCAGCCCTGCCTGTTCTCTTGAGGCCCAGTTATACGGAGATGTAGCCTACACACTCCAGATAAGTTGTTTTTATGATGCAATGAGACAAACATATAATGCAATATAAGATACAGCAAAATGTGTGGATTTAACTGTCTCGACATTGTGGAAAGCCACACGAGTTTATTAATTTGATCGATATTACACAGATTGACCTCACGACCTCGGTGAAATTAGTTTGACAATGTTTCTAAATTAAATGTAAGGCAAATACTTCTCATGGATGGTATCAAGTGCAATAATAGTGCAATAATAATAATAATAATAATAATAATAATAATAATAATAATAATAATAATGTACTGGTTACTGTTAAAATGGTATTTATTTATTTTGCCATAAAATACTATCCATTGTCAAGCAAATGCATGTCATGATAACAGTGGCCTATTTTTTGTAACATTAGGCTAACCAAAATACTGTTGCTTTAAAGCAAATATAATTATGCCTACAGCCGTTGCCTCATCACAGTTGCTCAAAGTGGCATTGGGTCAATTTAAAGCTGTCTCCTCTCTCCTGGCAGATTATTGTAGAAGAAAAGTTGCTTATGTGCTTCGGAAAAGTCTTACCACATCATTAAAATGTATGAAGAGATTGTACGAGTGCTTAAGGGACACCCTTGTAGGCTATCTGTCAGTCACCTCATTTCCTCCCACGTAGTCTTTGTAATTTGGCTTGATATACTGTTCCCTTAAAAATTGATTAGAAATAGGCTAATTCAATTCTGCTGCAACTCAGTCTGTGGGACACCTCATGTTCCGAGATCTAGTCGGAGGAATAAGTAATATTATAAGTCTACACCCTGTGACAGCTTGCAAGCGCAACATTACACAAAAAAAGAAGTCATTTTAAACAGGGCCTAAATCAAATTGTGGTAAAACAGGATAGGACAACATTTAGCCCTACCTGCTAAAACGCAATGGGATAAATATTTACTCAACATTTACAACAATAACACACACTATCAACACATAGGCCTATTTAATGGACTGAAATGGGCGGTTAGGGCCAAAATCACACACCGTTCAAAACTACGTCGCAGCCTCTCCTTTTCGTGGCTAAGGGACCGGTTTTCGATTTGAAAGGCCAAATCTATCGGAAGTCAATTGTACGGCAGGTATGTGGTACATATAAGGGTATTATCCTGCACTTAGGCGTCGAAACAGAAGCCTTACGCCGCGCGCAGCTGTCAGGAATCTAATGGAAAGTTATGAGAGCTTGGTGAGAAGCGTGGAGTAATTCGATTAGCCCTCCGACTAATATATTTAGGTGTCTGGTGCCGAGCTAAATTAAATGTCATTATTCACTGTCTCTAATAAAAATTCAAAGGAAATGAAATTAGGGTGTTTGTGAAGCGCATCATTGAGTGGTCCTTAATGGAGAAATAACTGTCGCAACCAGTGTAGTTCACTTTGATTAGCATTCTGGCACGTAGGCTAATTGGAATTGATCCTGAGCTGTACAGTTGTTGATTTATTTGTAGTTTTTGTGTCAATACAGACCTTTGAGAGACAACAACAGCAGTGATTTAAAAGTAGACTAATTAAATAAATCTCGTGATATAGCCAAGCCAAACACAATCAAATAATATAATCAGCAGGATAAGGATAATGATACAGCCATAGCCTATAATAATAATAATAATAACAATCAGAAACAGGCTAATAATAGGTCATAATAGCCTATTCCTAAATTACTTTCTTCTAAACACAACATGAAACAAACATTTGTTTGCAGTATTCATTGGAGGGAAAGATTGAGGCAAATAATCTGTAGGCAGGCAATGTCAATAATGCATACTTTATCGACAAACGTATTATTGCAGTCCAATCCACACGCCTTTAATGATGTTCAGTTGGTGTAAAATGGCTGCGGCACCACGAGTAATTAGACATCGCCCTTTGTGGTCATCTAGTCGCGAATCCGGCTACTGTAAATGATAATCATTACTGGGGTCGGAGGGGAGAGAAGATAATGGATTAATGGTGGGAAATTAGGTTGATGATAGTTAAAAATAGGCTATGCTGCTTCTGCAACCTGGGGAGCAAAAGGGCCTAGTTAGATTACATAGAGTAACAGTGACCTTTTTGGCACCGTTTGTTTAGCACTAGGCCTTCCTAAATTTTAGTATCGACAGTTATTGTTTGGCTATACATTTTCTGCCGATATTTTGTACACAGCAAATTCGCCAATGTTAAATCAATGCTGACAGTGTCTACTGTATATGGGTCCACACTTTTCAGTGTAAAATTAACACACTGCTTAGTGTAAAGCCTTATTTTCATATTTCCCAGAGTGCCTTGCCTTTGGAGTGAATTGTAGAGTTACCACCCATTACTGTATTTGTTAGTGACAGAGGCAGAGTCCTGTGGCCTAAGCAACTCTGTTATCATTAAAATAAAATTAGCTGTGTATATTATTTTTGGCCTACTTATACTTATATTAGCTATAATAGTGTAGGCAATGATTCAGTCATAAGCCATGATTAAAACAATAATAGGCTACTTTTATGAGCAGTAAAATCATCAAATCAATATTCTACAATACCCTCACACAGCAAATTGGCCAGTGTTGATTTTTCAGTGTAACATTTCTAGTGTTGATTCATGAGTTCAATTCACTCTGTTGTAAAATAACCCCCAGTGTTGGTGTTAATAACCAGAGTTATTGTTTTACACTTTGGAGAATAAAACAGTCCCATCAAAACCACGCCCATCATTATCATATTTCCCAGCATTCTCTAATTCAGGTAGATTTTTTAAATTATTTTAATATCTGTGTTTTTGCATATACACAACCGGACAAAAGTTTTAGAACACCTACTCATTCAAGGGTTTTTCTTTATTTGTACTATTTTCTAGATTGTAGAATAATAGTGAAGACATCAAAACTATGAAATAACACATATGGAATCATGTAGTAACCACAAAAGTGTTAAACAAATCAAAAATATATAATATTTGAGATACTTCAAATAGCCACCCTTTGCCTTGATGACAGCTTTGCACACTCTTGGCATTCTCTCAACCAGCTTCATGAGGTTGTCACCTGGAATGCATTTCAATTAACAGGTGTGCCTTCTTAAAAGTTAATTTGTGGAATGTATGTCCTTCTTAATGTGTTTGAGCCAATCACTTGTGTTGTGACAAGGAAGGGGGGTTATACAGAAGATAGCCCTATTTGGTAAAAGACCAAGTCCATATTATGGCAAGAACAGCTCAAATAAGCAAAGAGAAACGACAGTCCATCATTACTTTAAGACATGAAGGTCAGTCAATATGGAACATTTCAAGAACTTTGAAAGTTTCTTCAAGTGCAGTCGCAAAAACCATCAAGCGCTATGATGAAACAGGCTCTCATGAGGACCGCCACAGGAATGGAAGACCCAGAGTTACCTCTGCTACAGAGGATAAGTTCATTAGAGTTACCAGCCTCAGAAATTGAGCCCAAATAAATGCTTCACATAGTTCAAGTAACAGACACATCTCAACATCAACTATTCAGAGGGGACTGTGTGAATCAGGCCTTCATGGTTGAATTGCTGCAAATAAACCACTACTAAAGGACACCAATAAGAAGAAGAGATTTGCTTGGGCCAAGAAACACGAGTAATGGACATTAGACCAGTGGAAATGTGTCCTTTGGTCTGGAGTCCAAATTGGAGATTTGTGGTTCCAACCGCCGTGTCTTTGTGAGATGCGGTGTGGGTGAACGGATGATTTCCACATGTGTATTTCCCCCCGTAAAGCATGGAGGAGGCGGTGTTATGGTGTGGGGGTGCTTTGCTGGTGACACTGTCTGTGATTTATTTAGAAATCAGCATGGCTACCACAGCATTCTGCAGCGATACGCAATCCCATCTGGTTTGGGCTTAGTGGGACTATCATTTGTTTTTCAACAGGACAATGACCCAACACAACTCCAGGCTGTGTAAGGGCTATTTTACCAAGAAGGAGAATTATGGAGTGCTGCATCAGATGACCTGGCCTCCACATTCCCCCGACCTCAACCAAATTGAGATGGTTTGGGATGAGTCGGACCGCAGAGTGAAGGAAAAGCAGCTAACAAGTGCTCAGCATATGTGGGAACTCCTTCAAGACTGTTGGAAAAGCATTCCAGGTGAAGCTGGTTGAGAGAATGCAAAGAGTGTGCAAAGCTGTCATCAAGGCAAAGGGTGGCTATTTGAAGAATCTCAAATATAGAATATATTTTGATTTGTTTAACACTTTGTTGGTTACTACATGATTCCATATGTGTTATTTTATAGTTTTGATGTCTTCACTATTATTCTACAATGTAGAAAATATTACAAGTTAAGAAAAACCCTTGAATGAGTAGGTGTTCTAAAACTTTTGACCGGTAGTGTACATTGATTGATTCATCTTATGCTACACAAAGATAAATAACATAAATGTTTCTAAACTAATCCAATCAGTTAGTTAGATTTAATGCACCTGTTACTGAAATGGTTGTTCCAGTTTAAATGGTATAGGTAGTCTTCTTATCAACTTTCCTACCCTTGACAGTCATTCTGAATGCAGGGTGCGGGTGAATAAAAAATCCAACTGTTGGATAGTCTAACTCGGGCTGGATTCCAATAGGTTTTACACATCACTTTGCAAGCTGGCATAATGTGACTTGCAGGCCTGATGTGGCCTGTAAACCAGGAGTTTCCTAACACCATTGTGTTAAGGTAAAATTAGGCCATCAAAGTAAGGCCTTATGATATATGTATTTTCATAGAGTTACATTTTAACATTTACATTTACATTTTAGTCATTTAGCAGACGCTCTTATTTAAAAATAGCATTTGCCTAGGCACTCACTTGGTGAAAGCCAAAGGCCTTTAAAATGAAATAATTTGACAACCATGTGTCTGTTACTAACAAATAAAGTCATGGAAAGTAAGTATAAAATTCACTCGAAAAGAAAAGGCACCCTGGGAAATATGCAAATTAGGCTTTACACCATACAATATTAAAACAACACCCCCAAAACGACTTACTGTAACACTACAGGTGTTAATTTCTTACACTGAGAAAGTGTAACAGCGTCAGCACTAAGCAAAGTGTGTCCAGTTTACTCTAAATCAAGTGTTGTTTTACACTGCATAGCTCTCTACAGTAGAGCTTTACAAACACCACAATCAAGTTCATTTGAACATTTTAAAAGTAGAATGGGGAACACTGCAAGAGTTAAATCTTTAATACTTTCAAAAGTCTTATTTTAACACCAGCACAGTGGGACTCAAATGTTCACTGAAAATAAGGTACATTTAACACTTTCTGAGTTAAATGTACACCATTGATTTTGCTGTGTAGTCACTATTTACATTTTGGTTTCCAGGTTTGGTTTCAAAACAGAAGAGCAAAATGTCGAAAACAAGAAAACCAGATGCATAAAGGTAAATTCTATTTCACTATCCATCTATTTGTTTAATGATTTGTGATGATTATTAAGCTTGTACTTTTACACTTGCAAATGTTTATTCCACATAATTCAGTGTCATGTAAAAGCTTTCTATATTGCTCGCATTTCCTACAAGAATTATGTGCACATGTACTGTATTATGTTAAATTATTATATTATCACGTGCAAAATGAAAAATGTCAATCTTGTAAACTTTGACCAACCATTTCAGCCTTATAATCAAACATAACTGTCTCACTGTCTGACAGACACTCCTTCCTACTTTCCAGGTGTCATTATGGGCACTGCCAGTCATCTGGATGCCTGCAGAGTAGCGCCATACGTCAACATGGGAGCTCTACGGATGCCTTTTCAACAGGTATGTTGTTTTCTATTTTTCATGACATGAATCCCACGTGAATTATTTACTTAGAAAATGCACGCATGAGTGATTGTGCACAAGCAAACGTCAATATTCAACATCCATTAACTGACAAAAAGCTATAGTTTCTAAATGTGTTAGCATGGTTGAAAGGTTTGATGCAGTCATACAAATGCATGCTACTTTCCCTCCCCTTTAATCCATTAGAATGTGTAGTTGATATTGAGCCTCAAAATATAAACAACCATATTTCCCAATCATCTCTGAATCTGAGAGAGATATTAATGAGAGGTGCATATGCGCTCATTATGCTAAAAATAGACACCTATCGTCTGATGTTGCGGTGTACAAAGGCTAGGGTGGCAATTGAGAACTCTATGGAGCTGGGGGGGGGGGGGGGGGGGGGGGGGTGTAAGAGTGTGCACAACTCAACTCAACCCCAGAACACCTTTCACCTTTGGGGTGTGTTGAGAGTGGTGTGTGTGTGTGCATGTGTGTTGGAGAGTCATTTGATCTGGCGGTGTCTGTTTTTGTGTCCTGGCCGCTGCGTTGTCCGCCTCACCCCTGTGAAAAGCTTGGCTCTAATTAAGCCAACACTGCAGCAATGGGAGCACATGAAAGAGATGATGAAAGCAGAGACTGGAGAGGGCGCTGATGGATATTGGCCGTGAGCTGCGTTTGCAGGGAGGGAGGCACTACCTCTACCAGGCCTGAGACAGACAGGCCTCTCATTGGCCATTACATAGTTTCAGCAATCCTGGGTTCATACACATCATTGGTTACCACCCATGACTGTATTTGTTAGTGACAGAGACATGGTTGTATAATTATTTCCTTTTAAAGGCCTGTGGCTTTTACCAAATGAGTATCTAGGTGAATGTTATCATTAAAATGAAACTTTATGACAATACATTACATATATCATAAGGCCTTACTTTGATGGCCTAGTTTTACCCTAACCCCAGTGGTGTTAGGAAACACCTGGTTTACAGGCCACATCAGGCATGCAAGTCACATTATGCTTGCAAAGTTGGAAACCTATTGGAATCCAGCCAGAGTTAGTGATGTTACGTTTGATACCAGAGCTCCGAGGCATGCTTCGAAATCGCTAAGCAGCTAACTTCAACGCAGTGTGCCAATGCGTGTATCACTTTATCAGAAGTACATCATCAATGACGTCCGAAGCTTCGTTTGATCACGTGCTTTTTCAAACTGTGTGTAGCAAAATGTGAGATCCCACTGATTTTGATGTGGTTCCGGTGCTTTCTTTGTTTCCAAGCTGCTTTCATACACGACCTCTACCGGACACCGTACTTACAAATATAGTTCAGATTTTGTACATGTAGTTTCACCTGACAGATAGCTTAGCAGGTGGAGTAGGGAACTATGGAACATTCAGGTACGTGAGGGTATGAGGTCAAATCCTGTTGAATGCACACTATTTTAAAAATGTTTTATGTGAAACCACACTTTCTGCACTGTTGTGCAAATAATGTGTTGTATTTAGTATAATAAGATGCAAACCTGGTATTCCAAGTGATTATAGGCTACTAAAGTCAACGACTTACCTCTGCGCCACAAAGTTTTGATGAAAACAGTAGAGAAAAAACACATCTATCTGATAATCACGCGCTGCTATTTTCTGCTGAACAGCAGATGTCACTAATGTGCTTTGCGAACGGATAATGAAGCTCAGAGTAACAAACCATTTTTCGGCACAATTTGGTGAAAGCTCCGAAGCTTTCAGAAAGCCTCGGATTCCCATTACTAGCCAGAGTTAGCATATCCAACTTTTGGAATTATTTATTCACCCGCAACCTGCATTCAGAATGACTGTCGGGGTTAGTTTAAACAATTTAAACCGGAACAAACATTTCAGTAACGTGTGCAATAAATCTAACTAACTGATTGGATTAGTTTAGAAAAATGTATGTCATTTAGCTTTGTGTAGAATAGTATTAATCAATCAATGTACATGCAAAAACACAGATAATAAAAACAATCCTAAAATAACAACCTGCAATAGAGCTTGCTGGGAAATATGATAATGATGGGTGTGGTTTTACAGAGTAAATAATAGTGGGTGCTTATATTTGTCCTATTTCACACAAGTGTGTATTAATACACACGAGAATTGGAAATGTGTTTTTTGCATATCCCAACTCTCCCTGAGCCACCTTCGGAGAGTGGGGTCACGGCCAGGGTCTGCCATTAACAACGGCGACCCTGGAGCAATTAGGGTTAAGTGCATTGCTCAAGGGCACATCAACTTATCACCTTGTCAGCTCTGGGATTCAAACTAGCGACCTTTTGCTTACTGGCCCAATGCGCTAACCGCTCGGCAACCTGCTACCCTATAAAACCATAACTGGTTATTAACACCAACACTGAGGGTTCTTTTACACCACTGAGTGTGAATTTCACTCTTACAGGGTGAATTTAACTCCTGAATCAACACTAGAAAAATGTTACACTGAGTGGTCCTTAAAAATGCTGGAGTTGGTTGCCTCTAGGGCAATTCAGGCGAATGTTAGAGGGCCTTTTTACTGAAGAATGTGTTTGTTTCATAAGATTGTGTTTTGCTTTTCGTGTTTTGTGTTTGCTTTTCATTTATTGTGTAATTGATGTGTATATAGATATGTATATTGTAATTGTTGTTTATTGATGTGTTCATGCAGGGCTCATCTGCGAAAAAGACCGTGGTCTCAGCATGACTCCCTACTTAAATAAAGGTTAAATAAATAAATAAATAAATAAATAAATAAATAAATAAATAAATGTTGACCACCTGTTGTGCTGGGGACTGAATACAGATTCCATATATTCATTTGAGACAGTTTCACACAACAGGACAATAATCCTGCAGCAACCGGAAATGTGAATTGTTATGTGGATTATAGTAAATTGTAATTTTTATAGGGGTTGATCAAATTTTCGTTAGACAAGAACAAGTCAGAAATTTTAAAGTGGAAATGTCTAACTTTAAAAGCCTTTTTAAACCTTGAATACACAAGGGCCTCCCGAGTGGCACCGCGGTCTAAGGTGTCACTACTGACCCGGGTTCGATCCCAGGCTGTGTCACAGCCGGCCGTGACCAGGAGACCCATGAGGCGGCGCACAATTGACAGCGTTGTCCGGGTTAGGGGAGGTTTGGCTGGCCGGGATTTCCTTGTCCCATCGCGCTCTAGTGACTCCTTGTGGCGGGCCGGGCGCCTGCAAGCTGACTTCGGTTGCCAGCTGGACAGTGATTCCTCCGACACATTGGTGCGGCTGGCTAAGCGAGCAGTGTGTCAAGAAGCAGTGTGGCTTGGCAGGGTCGTGTTTCGGAGGACACATGGCTCTTAAGTTGCCTCTCCCGAGTCCGTAGGAGAGTTGCAGCGATGGGACTGTAACTACCAATTGGATATCAGGAAAAAGGGGTAAAAGTCCCCAAAAAATCACTTGAATACACTACAAGTTTGCATTTCTTCCTGTGCAGGAAAATTCCTTCAACAACAGGATGGTCATCTGAAGCGCCCGTAGCAGCCCTGTTCCATTTCACTGATCTGTCAAGCAAACTTTACAACAACACGCTAAGAGATCCCTTCTGAAAGAGGGGCTCCCTTCTGTGTTTGATTGACAGTCTGTATTGATACATTTGTAACAAGGCCCTTTGTTTGAATGTTAGCCATGCCTTATGAAAAGTTAGTATCCATGCATCTGGAATCGGGCCTATTTTTTAAGTGTTTGGGAACAGTGACAGTTGGTGACCAAGGGAAAGAGAATATGGAGGAAGGCCTACTGGGTATTTATTCACTGCCTCGTGTCCGTGGGTCCTGTCACTGAAATGCAGTGAGAGTACAAATACTGGTCATAGTATGCAATGAAATACCGTCCAAGAAAGCATATTTTGGGGTTTATATTAATTCTCTCTTGCATTTTCCAAAATGAAAAATTGGTCGAAACAGCTGGCTCACTCTTAAAACGTTTACGATGCATTGCTTAAATTAAGTTTTATTTGGGTTGGATGAGAAAGCAAAAGGCTATCCACTTCTCTCCGTGCTTCCTGTGGCATTTGAAACACATGAGAAATGGCAATAGGCAATGTAGCTCTCCCTCTGAAGTACAGGGATGTGTAATTTTCAACTACTTCTCATAAAATAATTGCCAAGAATGTGAAAACTGATATTCTATGACTCGCTTTCCCTTTGCTCAGGAATATGCATGGATAACTATTTATAACTCTAAATACGTTAATCTTATTGGGGTGCAAAATTGTTTATTTATGCAATTGAATCCATAATCAGGATAACAAGACTTTTCCAAGGTTATGAGGGAGTTCTCAGTGTGAATTAGAGAAATCTGTTCAGGGTCTTAGAGAAACTTTGATTCCAGGCTGTGAAATTGGACATGGTGTCTGTGAAGTTATGTATGATTCATTAACTTTAAGAATAGCTGACATGAAAAAAGGACTCAGAGAGCAGTTCCTAACTATTTTCTTACAAAACACAGTAAGCAACAGCTTTGAGGGGGTAGAACTTGAAGGGGAATTTAATAGTGTCAAACTGTGAAACCTAAACCCTCAGCTCTCCTCACACACACGCACACACACATACACACACACGCACACACACACACAGCCTGAAGGGCTGGGAGGGACTCACTAACCCAGGGTTTGTTTTTGGTTGTCCTGCAGGTCCAGGCCCAGCTCCAGTTGGAGGGCGTGGCTCACTCCCACCATCACCTGCACCATCACCTGGCAGCGCACGCACCCTACCTGATGTTCCCGCCCCCACCCTTCGGACTTCCAATCGCCTCGCTCGCGGACTCAGCCTCTGCTGCGGCGGCCGTGGCAGCGGCTGCCAAGAGCAACAGCAAGAACTCTAGCATCGCCGATCTCCGACTCAAGGCAAGAAAACACGCTGAAGCGCTGGGTCTCTGACCTCACCGGGCTTCCCCTCCACTTGCCCCACGCCCTCATAATCACCCGCTTCTCACACAAGACTGAGCCCAGTGATCGGGTCTGACACTTACAGCTTAAACAAAACAAATCCAAAATAAAAAACACTGAGAGGGAGAATGTGAGAGAGACAGAGAGAGAGAGAAAAAGAAAGACACAGAGGTAAAGGGAGAGGGGTAGAGGATGAGTGGAGAAAGAGGAGGAGGAGGAGGAGGAGGAAGATGGAGGAGGGGAGCGAGAAAATTGTCACAAAACCAGCTACCAAAACAACCACTTGTAGAGAGAACGGTAATTCAATACCAATGAAATCTCCTTTTACTTTTCGCCCAACAGGCAGGACTTCTGCGGGGCCAGTGGCTCAGTCCACTCCAGGCACACATCACAAGTCCAGGACCATACAAACACATGTGGATGTCTGTCTGAGCCGAGGGACAGGGCCAGGGCCAGGCCAGGCTAAACCAGGCCAGACCAGAACGGGAGACTTTAGAACAAAGCAAACTGGCAAAGCAAGCAAGCAGTGCCAAATACTAGAGCCTCACTGAATCCGATGCCGTCACGTTGACTTTACAGACTGTTGCATGTGTGAGAAAAGACACTGACACCACAAGGCATCGGACCCGCTCTAAACTTTACACACAAAACAGACAAACTAAAAACTAAAAAAGAGAAAAGAAATGGCCATAATCGTTGTGTGACCACTGTGTTGTTTCCTGCCGCTGCCCAGTGCATGAGTTCTATTGGAGGACTGCAGGCCTATCATGGAGCCTGGCCTTTATGTTGTATCTGAGCTAACGCCCCAACTCTGTTGTATCACTGCCATTCAAACCGCTCTCTATACCCTCATCCACAAGGTCAATGGTCATTTGGGTTTGATTTCCTTTACGCTGTTGACTGACAGGAAGAAGCGATTAGAATCCCTTATTTTTCTGCTTTCGGAGGATGAAGAGTGTAAATATGAGTCCGAAATAAGTTTTTTAGCTTTTCTCCTCACATTGTTCTCTCTCTCTAGCTTTCTTTCTTTCTTTCTTTCTTTCTTTCTTTCTTTCTTTCTTTCTTTCTTTCTTTCTTTCTTTCTTTCTTTCTTTCTTTCTTTCTTTCTTTCTTTCTTTCTTTCTTTCTTTCTTTCTTTCTTTCTTTCTTTCTGTTTATCGTGCTGTTTCCTAGGAATAGAAGTGAAGATATTCTTTGCACTTCAGGTCTTGTATGTGGGCGTTTACAAATGGCACTACTAGAAGATACTGCTTTACTAAATGAGGCGGGAATAGGAACCAATTTGGGTTTTATCATGTCATCAAAAAGAGACGTTCACGAAACGTTTCGAAGGATAATGGGTATAACTGCAATTTTTTTGTACTTTTTAAAATATGAAGGAAGTATCAGTTAAACTGAAATGCAATTTTGTGCAGTTTAAGTGCAATACTGTAAATATGAAAAAGTTTAAAAATAATAAAAATAATTGTTCATTGTTCATTTTAAACAAATGATTTTCAGTCATTTTTTTGCAGCCACTATTAAAAAGGTGTGTCTAATTTCTTTGCCAAACAGTTCTGTTTTTCCTAAAGCATTGTGTTATGTTGCAAACTCATCCTCAATCATGTGCCATAACTCCAGAGATTAAATGGTTTTCAAACGTAGTTTTGTACACATCAGAAAACTATAATAACCTGTTGAGGTAGACATGAGCACATGTGTTTCATGCTGCAGAAATTAACAATTGAAAAACTAGAATTTGAAATAAGTTATCATAATTGATATGGGATAAAGCATTATGCCAAATTCCACCAAAGATTCTAACAAATTTTACGATATTCGTCATAGGAACAGCAAAGCCATGGCAGTGTTGTAGAGACAGTTTGCTTTAGGCCTGTACATATTAAACTTGCATTTATTTGCATGTTCAAGCTGCAATTTCATGGTAAGATAACAGAAGTAAGATAATATCTACAACCTATATAAATAATGCCTACCAGCTAGGATAAAATGTTGAACACTTGTAAATTCAAAGGGTATTGTTTTGTGTCATTGAGAAACAGATCTCATAGTCAATAATGCCTCTGAGTCTGTAAATCCTATTAAGGTCTACCTCGAACAATGTTTTATCAACATTTCCTCTGTTCACAAACCACCATAAACTGTTGTTTAGCAATTTTAAATTAAACACATGGGTGCTTTTATTTATTATTTGGGAAGTTTATAAAAGTATTAAATAGTTGAAATACAAGTGTACATTTTTACATGGCTTTGCATTTATTTTTATATGTTTTTTAAATGTTACATTTGCAAAGGGAGATGTGTGGCTGTTGTGCATTTTTTTTTGCATAAAATGTAGCGTATTCGAGTTTACAAACATTTCAGGGATTGGATTTGATTAAGCTCCATGGAATTTGTTGTACCCACCACAAGTATTATAATTTTATATGCAAGCATGCCAAAACATGATTCACCATACAGTTTTTCTTTTGATTCACAAAATATGAATGTACATCTTGTAAACTATCAATACATTTATACATCTTTGTACTGCAGTTTTAAGATACTTAAACAACTCCATTCCAGATTAATCAAAACAATATATATATATATATATATATATATATATATATATATATTGCTCTGTGAGAGATTTTGGGCCATAGAATGGTTACATTTAGCATTTTACTTTTTAGTCATTTATTAGATTCTTATATATTGAGGGACTTATTATCATACAACAAGAGGCTAAACAACATATTATCATCATCAAAACATTCCGGAAGTGAATACCGTAGTACACAGGAATAGTGAATTGTATGCCAGATTCCCTTACTTGAAGCATTAGACAGATACTTTATGAGCTGATGTAGATTAATGCTGTATGCGCATCGTGACAGGTTACAGTTGATGCTCAGCTGTTGTCTCAGGTTGAACCTACCGATCAATATCAATACCATTCCAGCTCTGACATTTACGCAGTTTCCATGTCAGCCATCAGAGCTCATCAGATCCCAATCTTACCCCACGCCAGCGGAGGAAATTGAGCCGCTATGAAATCCAGATGTACGCCAGCATCATCGCCCCGAATCTGGAACCGAACATGTATAAAGCCCTCTGTTCAAATGTCAGAGATAGTACTGAGATGGAACCTGAAAATGTAACTTTTTCAAATAAAAGCAAGATGCCTGCAATTGGAGTAAGAGCGAGGCTGTTGTGCCCAGTACTACCTAGAAGGTCGCTGCACGTTTAATTTGTACCTCTGTGCTCATACATAAAGATTGAGTGATATAGTCGCAGACTGATCGGCCTGTATTTACCCACTGACCTCTCTGGCTGGGGCCTGCTGAGCCAGGCCTGGAAATAACAGCATCCTTTTATGTGTACTAATAATTAGCTAGGCACACAGCCATCCATCAACCAGCAATGAGCCATGGCTGCTTTGTCAACATGTGAAGGCACATAAAGCTGTTTATGTTGGCCACAAGTCACAAATAAAATAATAATGTAGTAATAGGGGAAGGGGCTGAGTGTGTGTGTGTGTGTGTGTGTGTGTGTGTGTGTCTGTCTGTTTGTGTGTGTGTGTGTGTGTGTGTGTGTGTGTGTGTGTGTCGGGGGAGGGAGTATCTAAAGTGAAACCCATGTCGAGGTTGTGCCAAGTGTTTCGTTGAAACAATTTTATTAGCGGGTATTACAAGTGGATGGTCCACTGATGTGCTTCCCTTCCCTTGTATTGTGCTGTTAGCATTAAGCTTTTGATATGTACATATAATGAGTTATTGAAATAGAAACAAATTAATCTTCAACTAATTGAAAACCATGATTAATTTCTTAAATTATTGTGACCTACTTCAAGTATATGTGAATCATTTATTGATTGTGTGCTCTGAAACCAGTGGGATGGCCCAACAATAATATGCTCAACATTCACGGGAGTGCCCACATTAAATGTTTTAACACTTATTTGGGTATCCTGATTTGTAATTGAAGTTATCCGAACTCTGCCTGAAACAGCTTATAGCAAATATTCCCCTCCTAGAAAATGTTCACAAGCTTTCTCACTGTGCCAGGGCTCAGGTTCTGCAAGAGAGGGAACTCTGAAAGCGCGAGGCCTGGAGCTTTTAGCCACAGAGCTACGCTCTATGCTAGCTACCCTGTGAGAGGTCAAGTGCTCAGGGGTCACGTGCAATAGTTTTGATCACATTTAATTCTCATAATCCTCTTGTGAATGTCACACACAACTATGGTCAGACGGACTGTTCATGCTCTTTGTGGCTTGGCAGTGCAGTTGCAGTGGCATGAATTGAGACAGCTTAGTCTAGATCGGCTCAACATGTAAGACAGCAAAACATAGTTCCTGATATGATACCAGTGGTGTAGTAGAGTGTAAACTCATGTAAACGCTGTTTACACACCCTTTTTGCCCACCTTTTGCTGAAAATTGCATTGAAATTATAGGGACCGTTACTTTACTTTTTTGAGTTAATATTTTTAATTGCTGTTCATTTGGCTCTAAGAACTCAGAGAACCAACCACACAGTGAAACCTCAGCTGAAAACAATTGAGGTAAAGTGCTGAAGTCACTATGGCCTCCCATGGATCAAAGGCCGTCTCTCAGCCAACTTTGTTTTGGTTCGGCTTCAGTTAGCTTTTTTTGCTAATACTTATAAATGTATCTGGTGCCAATGGCAGTGCAAAACTATATTAGAACTAACATCTTATGACTAGGTCAAAAAAAAATTCTTTGCAGTGAGGAGAAAACTGTCAAGAATTTCAGGGTTTTTTGTAGCTTAAAAAAAGTATATATTTCAATGCAAATATTCGGCTTCTCTCATGTTATTCATCGCACAAACCATGTAATAATATTGTTATTCATTACACAAATAATGTAATGATAACATGAAAAGTTTGCTTTCCCATTACAATGAAATGTCAATTGAATTATGGGACCTTATAATACTATCACAATATCATTATATCTTCTAGCAGCTCTTATCTCCAAACAAAGAAACGTAACATTATTAGAAATGGACTGAAATATATATGTTTAGGCAAACATGAAAAGAGATTCTTAGCAAAAAAGAAGTACAATTGTTTGGTGAAAAGTTACAGTATATGTCATCTTGAACAGCTCTTCCCTGCAAAGTGCTCAATGTACTTATAACCAGAAATAACAAAAG